GGGGGTCCCGTCGGGCGCTAGGCCGCCGGCTGGCGCGAGCGCTGCGGCGCTGCACGCCCCCTGGAGAAGGCGGGATGCGCGGGCCTCCGCGCTGCCTGACGTGGGCGGGAGCCTTGCGCCTCATGTCGCAACTGAGGCATGGGCGAATTCCTGCAGGTGGCTGCGGACGGGAGGCCGCTGCCTTTCATCGTTTTGGAAGCGAACTCTGTGCACTCGGGTTCTGTTTTAAGGAAAAACAAGCAATTCACTATTATCAGTAAAGGTGATGGATGTTTCGATCTTGTGCGATGGATGTCGATTCCCCTTTTTGCAATTGAGCTATTAAGGAAATGGCCCAAAGCATCCAGGATTTATGTGTTATCGTTGGCCATGTTGATTGTATGTGGCTTCTCGTATAATTTTCAACCTTTACACATTCTTATATGGATGGTTTCCTTTCTAAGCAGTAAGGCCATTTCTCTCTTTTCATTTTTACTGGTAATTCATGTGTATAGAATATAGCGAGTCAAATTAATTCCAACTTGCAGTTGAAAAGCATGGAACTCCAAAACCCTTTTTTCAAAGGCTACTGGTGAATTGATTACAGCTTTTAAGTATGGAGATCTGTCCAAGCAGACATAAAACAGCTCCCTGAGAGCCTTCTCCTCAAGCACACACAGAATGCACCCCGTGAAGTGGTCCCACTGCTGGGAAGGGAGAAGCACAGAAGTAGAAGCAAATCGATCAAGTATTCAGTCAAGAGCACGCTGAACAGATTCTTCTGATTCTGAGAGGGCTGAATGGGCAGGGCACCAATACACTTGATCAGGAAACCATAGGGTTCTGTGGTTCAGAGAGAGGCCAAGTGCTGAGGAAACGAGAGGCCAGTACATGATGGTGAAGGAAATCCCTACTGCTCTCCACTGCCTAATTTCTTTTTGGGGTGGGGGAGAGATTCCTTATAAGGAATGATGTCCAAGCATGTGATTTTGAAGCAATTGGAATTCACTATATAATTTTTTCTTACCATATTCCTTCAAGTGTTAGATACAACTCTTCAGACAGCCAAGATACATGGTAGGATAGCAACTGCACCAGAGTGAGCAGTTTTAATAGTATTTGTAATGATGTATTACTTTTTTTGTTTACAGTTCTCAGGATTAAATCAAGGACCTCATACTTGCCGTAGAGCTACATTCTCAGCCTTTTTGATGTTATTTTGAGTCAGAGTCTTGCCAAGTTGCTCAGGTTGGGCTTAAACTTGCAGTCCTCCTGCCTCAGCCTCTCATGTAGCTGGGATTACAAGTGTGTACTGCCACACCTGCTTGGGGATGCTATTCTTCTAATGTATTTTTTCTTTCCATTGTCTGCAGAATTTCCCATGTCCTACTTTGCAATGTAACCCAGAGGGTGTCATTCTGGTTTGTGGTTACAGATCCTTCGAAAAATCATACTCTTCCCGCTGATGAAGTACAGTCAGCCATAAGGTAAGCACTCCTAAATGTGCCCTCTACTGGTCAGTCAACTTGCTGATTAGCTCAACTGTCTTCAACACTGAAGCCTCATCCACACTCGATTCCACACACGATTTATTAAGATGTCAAAGATTTCATTTTGTGTCTATTAGGGATCAGTGTAGACCAGTGGGCAATTTTGCCTTCAAGCAGACATTTGGCAACATCCGGACACATTTTCCTTGTCACAACTTGGGGAGGGTGCCACCAACATCAAATAGACAGAAGCTAGGACTGTTGCTAAACAACCTACTATGCATAGAACACAAAGAATTATTTGACCCCAAAGATTAATCATGCTGTGGTTGAGAAACTCTGGTTTAAATATTAGCTAAGAGTGTTTAATTTTGTCTTCTTTTGGCAAGAACCTTTGTATGGAACTACTGTGATGGGCTCATCACATGGACTCTGGAGCCACCATGCGTAGGTGCTTAATTTTGGGTTTGCCTATTACTATTTGAATACAGACGAGTTATTACCCTCTCTTTGCCTTCCTCTCATCATCTGTAAAATATAATTATGATTTCCTTCTCTCAGAGTTACTGAGATTAAAAGAGTTAATCAGTGTAAGGAGTTTTGAGCAATAAGTCATACCTTTGAATTTTATTGGAAAACCAAGAAATGTATAGTCATTTCTTGGGTCTCTAAAGACTAACCTTTTTCAATCGCCATACATATATATTTAGCTTTAAAGATAATTTAAAAAAATAAAAATCAAATCATTAGTCATGTAAATTAAAACTGAATACTATCAAATGTTTTATTATCTCAGTTAATGAGGGAACCAGGAAAATGTTAACACATTTTTTAAAGGAGACTTCAAAGACTGAGGAGTGATGGACTTCATGAACAGATGCATGTGTGTATCTGTCAGCAAGTGATCAATCATGTTCCACCAGACCCAATTCACTTGATTTTCTATGGACAGGAATATTTACATTATGCTGTTTTTCTAGAAATTGTAGATTTTTCAGGATAGCTCAAAGACAATAACATGTAGAAATTACCCAGAAAGATACACTAGGCAGGATACTTGGTAAAAAGTCCAGTAATCTTTTTTTGCCTGTTTTCAGTCTTTCACAATTTTTTCCTGATAGTTGTTCCCTTTTACTCCATGGGACCATAACTAAGTTTCAAAGTGAGACTAAGTTTTTACTTTCAAGAAGCAAAAGGATGCAGTTTGTTTTGCTTTCAATTAATGAGCACTTTGTTTGCATCAGAACTTGGCACAGCACACGTGATTGATGTTGGGCAAAGGTATATGGAAGAATGAGTTGAGGAAGTCAACTATTTCCTGACAAAGAAAGAATGAAGCAAAGTATCCTTCTCCATAAAAGATTCATAAGTTACTGAAATACCTCTTATTTTCTTTATAAAGGAGAAATGCTTAGTGAAAAAAATCCACTTTCTGTCTGTAAAATATTAACACTTATGATAATGAACATATTTAATCAAAGGCCAGAGGTTTTTGTGAACAATTGTCTATTTCTTTCTGAAGCAAAGGGCCTGAAGATCTATACCAATGGGAAGTGCTTTAATCTGCTCTAACAAGTGTGTTTGGACTAAATTGTGTTTGTCTTTGTCTCTTTTTTGCTACTGGAAATCGAACTCAGGACCTCACACTTGCCAAACAGGTGCTGTGCTATTGAGCTATATCTCTAGCCTTGAACTAAATTGTATCTGCATTTTTGCCACCAAGAATACTCCTAAGACCCACTACTTAAGGAATAATAATTAGAAATACAATATTTTGCTTGAAAAATTATTTTATTCAAGGCTTGTGACCTGAGAGGACTTCAAAGAAAATGAAGACACTATAGTTAAACCAGTCTTGAGTTTGATGTGAGGAGGAAGAGTGAGGTCTTGGGGTGAAGGCAGGGAAAATTGATAAATAAGTTCTCAACACAATGTCTGCTTCAGAGGTCCTCACATGGGAAGCCAGTGAGGAGGTGGAGAATGGCCAAAAAATAAGAATTTATATTAGGAATGGGTAGGGTGTATTAGGCTTGAATGAAAAGAAACCAGTACCAAGAAAAAAGGTGATGGTACCTAGAGGGTAGATTATAGGAATTTCAAAGTTGAAGAATCCATATGGTTGAGCAAAAATACTAATTCTACCTAATATTTGCACACCACTTTTTGATTTACAAGGTCTTACAAATCTATGGGATTTAATACTGACACCAAAAATTTTTGAGTGGAGTAATTACGTATTAGTATTGTCCCTGGTTTATAAATGAGGAAACTGAGGTTCAAGGAGATTAGTTGATTTGCTTAAACTATGCTAGAAAGAAAGAGCAAGGACTCAAGTGGATGCATGCTACCACCATAACTACAGTGATTTTTTACTCTGTACCAGGGTAGTCATACCTGTGGGATGAGGCAAGGGAATGAGCAGCCAATTCTAAAGTGTCCATTGTGGCTTTTTCGGGGAGGAGTGGGGAAGACTTATTGGTCTGACCAGCTTGCCTAGTAGCAGACTCAGGCAGACCTTCCCTTTCTGACCTGGCTCTTATCTTCCCTCTCTGGATTTCATGGATCACTCTAGGAGAGAGAAGTATCCTGGGCTGGAGTGATAGCAAGGGCAGGGGAAAATACGCAGGGGTGAGTCCTGAAAGAGGCTCAGGGAGATGTAGTAAGGATGGCGTTGCTAGGCCATCTAGATAAAACATCCATGCAGGCAGAAGCAGGCAGCCACCCTGCGGAGGCCCTCTACCCTTGTCAGAATGGGAGCTCGGAGGAAGAGCGCCTCCTAGAGGCTCCTACTGTGCCCTTCGTGGCACCAGCATTTCACCAATGCCCTAAGCTTCCTTAACACCCCACTCCAGGTAGGATGTTTTCTTCTCTAATTCTTTAATGTTTTGTCTGGCTGTTTTCTATTTTTCTAACAGCTGATTGTGAATTACTTCCATGGATTGAAAAATAAACATTCTTTCCTACATCTTCATACATAGTAGCCTCATCTGCCAAAGTCATAGTCTCTAATTGAAAGATGTGCATGCTTTTTTGTTCTGCTTAGCTGTTTGTTCAGTCTGTCTGTCTGCAAACTTCATCTTCTGTTGAGTGTAAGTAATTTTGGCTTGAAGCTCTGTGAGGGTTTTCTTTGACTCCAGACCTACAGGAGCACCATATTGGTTCACTTCCTGTTATGGTTCATTTGTGAAGGCCAGGCCTAATTCAGTTCAGGTCTTGGCTAAAAGATACCTGTAGTGACTGCCATCAGTAGTGGAGAAGACTTAATCTGTTTTTGACCAGTGTTTGTTGAGCTAGAACTTGCAATCAGTCTGAGAAGGGCTAGACTACATTCATAGTGAGGTTGAACAACCAGATAGATAGAATCAGGATTCAGGGTGACTTTTCTTTTTTCTCTGAGTTATAGCTTAGCAGTGGGGTTTATTAATTTGTGGAAAGATTTGCATTTCAGATTTTCCGTATTAGATTATGAAAAAGGAAAACATTCCATAGTTTGATAAAAATTACATTTAAATTATCTCTTGATACAGATTTTCTGGTAGGGCTTCTTTTTCACATCCATGAATAGTCACTGCTTCAGTATAGAGGGCCCTTCCTGGTCCTTGTCACAGTCTGGGAAGTTTATATTTGTAATCCTGTGGAAAAGTTATTGGAATGGTATTGAGTTAATTCCAATCTACCACTCCTAGTGCAACCCATGGCAAGAATAAAGACACTAAGGCATATTTGTAGTTATGGGGAACGAAGCGGTCCTAAGCTCAGCTACGATGATGGCTAACCAGAACAAAGGCCTTGACCCAGGGTTAAACCTGGGTTTTATTAATTTTTTTTTTTTTTTTTTTTTGTTTTTCTCCGGTACCGGGAACCGAACTCATGACCTTGCGCTTGCCAGGCAGGCGCTTTGCCGCTGAGCTAAATCCCCAGCCCCTGGTTTTATTAATTTGTGAAGAAGGGAGTGGCTTGAGGATGAATGGCTGTGAAAATGGCAGAAAGTACTTGAGTGCTATGAGCTGGCTAGGTAGGAGGCCTGAAATCACTTCTGCAATGTGCAGAGAGAAGGATATGTAGAAGAGTAGTCTCCATAACACAACTGAGGTAGTGTCTAATGTTTTGGGATCAGTGCTTCAGCTCTGATGTGTAATCTTTTATGCCCTAGGAAGTCATAGCCTCTGTCTCAAGACTTGATCCTAGCATGGCTCTCCATCCTGCTCGGCTCACACATGTTTATTTGGGGGCTAGGGGAGTAGGGAAACACTACCCTGTCCTCTTTGCTTCAAAGACTATATATCAGCACCTCGGCTGGACCGATTTGCATTGCTTAAAACCAGTTGAAGGGATAAGGAAAAGTCCTAGCCAGCTCTGCACACATTAGTACATGGAAATAGGACCAGGTTCAGCCAAAATGGAGACGATTGCTCCTCCTTCAAGGAGAGTTGTCCACGTGGTCCTCTACACTTGAGCATAGTTTTTTTTTTTTTTTTTTGTATGTGGCATTGGGAGTCTAATGCAGGGTCTCACACATACTAAGTAGTGCTCTACCAGTGAGCTATATGCCCAGCCTTTAGCATTGATTTTTATTTGCTAAAGATCTCTCCTGGTGGCCCAGTGGCTGACCTACAGAGATTCTCAAGCCATTGCTATCACACTGTAGACCTGGATTGTCCTATCAAGCAGTTGAACTGTGGCCAGTCCAAAATATAAAAAATGTAAACGACACACCAGATTTAAAAGATAGTACAAAATAAAATGACAATCAACTCAATATTGATTGCATGTTGAAGTTATGTTTTCTTGAATATATTGGACAAAAACACATGATAATTTTACTAGTTTAACAAATTTTTGTGCAACTACTAGGGAATTTTAAGTTACACAAGGCTCACATTCATTATATTTCTATTTTCCAGGGCTGCTCTAAAGGTAGATGAAATCTACTTGTGTAGTATGAATTCAATAAAGGCTGTAAAGTATCTCTAAGGAATCTATTCACTTAGTTTGCAAATCCCAGTTAATAGTTCACTTATTTGTTTTTAGTTAAGTCTTTACCACCAACTCCTTCCTGACTGCCACTGCCACCCAAAATGCAGATTTTCCCCAAGGAAAGTACCACATTTACCTTTATATTTTTCTAGACTTTTTGACTCCTGAATCGCCATTGTCTTCAGTCATATGGAAACATTTGCCATTTCCTGAACAAGTCATACTTTACCATGGCTTCATTCTTGCATTTGTTTTGCACTTAAGTTTAAAGAACTCCTATTTGTCCTTCAGAACACAGCTCAAAAATTGTTCTCCAGAAAAGCAGCTGTGACTTCTGACTGTAATATACTTGGCGCTTCTCTGTGCTACCACTGTTCCCATCTTTGTCTCTTCAATAGAGTACTGTATACTGCACTGGGTTGTAGATGCACCAATCAGCCACCCTTCTATACTGTAAGCTCCTATTTTTATTTTACATTATATCCCCAGTGCTTAGCACAATATCTGATACTTAGTTAGGTTTGGCAAGCATTTGTTGAGTTAATGGGAAAAAAATCAAGTTGATGGATTTGAAGCCACTCTTAGCTCGTATTTTCTTTTAGGTTCTTGATATTTCTTTTCTTTCCATATTTACCACCCACTTTGGACACTTAGTTTTGTTTCAAGGAGCTATTGGTATTTTTGTAAGCCACCATAAGCAGAGTTCTGCCATTCTAATCTAGATGCTATTTCTCAGGCAGTCAGACATGGTGGGCAGAGCTCAAAGCTCAGGACTTACAGTTACTTCTGAGACATTTGCAAGAAGGGAGGGTGGTTGTGCATAGATGGACATCCCTGAAAGCCAGCACTACAACCACTAAGAGAAACCACAGCATGATTGTTTTCAGAAAACTTTCTAGCCAACCTGAAGTCTCCTGCTAGGAGGATGCTTTATGTTTAAAGACATATTTATTACCAAGGATAGCTAGATGTGTATTTGGTTTCTAATATTTTTTTCTTTCTTATTTTCTTTTTAATTATTATTGCATTTTAGAATGAACAGGAACCGGATCAACAATGTCTTCTTTTTGAATGACCAGACTCTGGAATTCTTAAAAATTCCTTCCACTCTTGCACCACCCACAGACCCATCTGTGCCCATCTGGATTATTATATTTGGTGTAATATTTTGCGTTGTTATAGTTGCAACCACACTACTGATTTTGTCAGGGATCCGGCAACGTAGAAGGTAAGATACTAAAAGGGAATGATTCAAAGAGCATTTGCTCATGTTTTCATGACAGAAAAATAAGGAGATGATTTTCCTTTAGTTAAAGATAGTGGCTTAAACTTGAAAATTTCTTGATTTCTTAAAAATACTACTTTTTTTGGTCTTGTTTGGTTTGTTTTAGAGTCCAGTGACCCTTACTTAATGAGGATCTTTCCATTTCTTTCTTTCTCTCTGTTCTATACTATATGAATGTCTCATATTCAGAGTTAATTTTCATATTTGTGTTGAATACATGGAGCTAAGCAGACTTCAAGTAGGCAGAGTTAATGTTTGCTAGTCTTTCTTGTCCAAATGCCAACAGTTCCACAGTTCCTTCAAAGCCTTTCTACCTTGGCTTGTCTCCTCTGGGCTCCAGGCCTGCAGGACACACTCTCATCCCAGATACCCTGTGCTGCTTCATTCTTCCCTCCCATTGCTGGAAGTGCATCTCTCTAGTGCTTGTGGTACCTACAGTGGGATTCCTCCTAACCTCTGAATCAACTCTGTGCCTCAGAAGTACCTGGAACACTTGGTTAAAATGTAGGTTCCAGAAGAGCACCAAGATGGCAGAGTGGTAAGTGGCAAAGAGGCTCTGAGAGTCACTGTCCAGATGCTGGATTATAGCAACTCGAGGAAGACAAGAGGAAGGAAGTGGGTCCCCTAGACCCAGGAAAGATCTGAAGTGAGAATTGAAGCCCATGGAGAGAATGAAGAAAGAAATTTAATGAAGAAGGAGGTAGAGGGCAGCATCTTTTCCCTGAGATGTGACTCACTGTGCAAGAGGAGCGGTTCAAACCTGTGGACACATGGTGACTACTGGTGACCCCAAAGGCCTCCATGGAGAGACACAGTGGTGAAGGAAAACAGCAGACATGAAGGACTGCACTAGCTGGCAATGAGTGCTAAGGGCTCAGATGTCCCAAGTGAGAGAGTGATACTGGGAGCCATCTTGGAGAGGGGACAACTGAGCTCAGAACTCAGAGCAGCTGCTGACTTCATCTAGCCGTCCCCACCTGGGCTCAGGCCCAGGGAAGGTGCACTGATGGCTGCAGGCCTAATGAGTCTGGTCTCAGCCAAAAGGTGCAGGCTGGAGATTATCTACTACCCCTCCGAAAAGTTGCTGTTGGCTTGCTCAGATAAGTCAACCCGGATTGGGACTCTGTCTCCACACATTATCTACCAGTGACAGAAGAGACATACCTGGAAGCAGACTTTTTTTTTTCTCTCTCTCAATTGTTGTGGTTTTGTTTTTGTTTTTTATTTTCTGTTTTTGTTTTTTTCTCCTTCATTGTTTGATCTTGTTTTATATGAGTTTGAACGTGGCTTCTAGCCTCTTTGTGGTTCTTGTTCTGTTCTATTCTTTTTATTGCTGTCTTCACTTTCCCTCCAGTCTTCTGCACCAGTTGCTCAAAATTAGCATGATCAGCTTTTGTCTTCTAGCCTTACTTCTAATCTCTTCCTCTTCTTCTACTTCTCTGTTTTCTCCCTAACCCATTTTAAATTTTAACCCCTGAAGGCAAAATTGGGCATATTAAGAACTTGTTTACTGCATATAATTTTCTAGTTTGTTTTAGTTTTTCTTATATAACCACAAATCTAGTTCATACAATTAAAGGTGGCAAATTAATGATTAGCTCAGTTTGTCATTTTCTAGGCTGTGTTTAATGCTATTCTTGATGCTGATGGTACCACTATAGTCAAAAGTGACATAATTGTTCTAAATAACTACTTTTCCTGGTATTCCAAGACTGAGTTTGACTAAGGGCCACAGAAAATACTGTGGTGCAGTGCCAAAGCACCAGGGGCTGGGCCAAACAGGCAGCAACTTCTCCTACCCCACAAATTGAAGAGGTAGGATCTTGCAACAGACTCAAAACTCAAAAACCAGCTTTATCTGGAAGATACCTTGGAGAAGTAGTCATTTCCAAAGGGATCTAAATGCTAACAAAAAGCCACCTGCCACAGGCAATGTACAAGCATCTCCCAAGGAATTAAACTAAAAAAAGAAAGGAAAATGAGAAGACACTTAAACAAGATGAAACCCCAGACCTCCAGTTCACCAAAGGCAGACACAGAGGGCAGTGAGGTGGGACAATTCAAAAGCCATCCACCTGGCCTGTCTGAAGTGATAACAGCAAAGCAACTGAGTGAGGCTCTAGAAAAGATCAAATTAGAAATAACTTCTCAGATAACTGCAGAGATGGTGTGCACAATGAAAACAATGCTTAGTGACTCTAGAGCAGATACAGACAAAAAAGTAAAGGCATTTAAGAAAATTATGGAAGTCATGAGTGCTCAGCATAGGAAAGAAATGGAATCCATAAGGCAGATTCAAGCAGATGTCCAGGAGAATAAAAATCCCATTGGAAGTATCCGCAGCAGATTAAGCTAATGGGAGGACAGGATCTCAGGTATAGAAGACATGCTTGTGGCTAGCAATCATGAAAAAAAGATGTGTTAAAAATAGCAAAGGATCATGAGAAATCAGTCCAGCAGCTGCTAGATGAGGCAAGAAAGAATAACTGAAGATTGCCTGGGGTCAGTGAAAAAGCAGGACAGAGCACAAATGATATTAAAAAAAAAACTATTCACAGACATCATGGCAGAAAACTTCACTGGCAGAGAAAAAGAATCTGACCTACAGTTAAATGAGGCATATAGAACTGCAGTTAGCCAAGATCTCACACACACACAAAAATCTTTAGCCAGGCATATAATAGTCAAGATTCCAGAAATTCAACACAAGAATAGAATGTTTAAAGCTGTTAGGGAAAAGAAACAAATCACCTATAAAGGAAAGCCCATCAGAATCATAACTGACTTCTCAGCATAAAGGCTCAAGTCAAGGAGAGCTTGGAGTGAAGTATTTCAAGTTCTAAAGGAAAACAACCTTCAGCCCAGATTGATGTACCCCATAAAACTATCCTTCAAAACTGATGGACAGGGGCTGGAGATTTAGCTTAGTGGCACAGTGCCTGTCTGGCAAGCACAAAGTTGTGAGTTTGATTCCCGGTACCAGAAAAAAAAAAAACCAAAAAAACTGATGGAGAAGTAAGATACATCCATGACAAAGAACACCTGAAGAAATTTATCACCACCAAACCAGCACTCTAAAATGTTTTGAAGGACATTTTAGAAGGCAATAATATGAGGCTGGGGGTATAGCTCAGTGGCGCAATCACCTGCCTGGCAAGTGCAAGGTCCTGAGTTCAATTCCTGGTACCAAAAAAAAAAAAAACCAAAAGCGATAACATGGTCTACAACTGTATGAACACCAACAGAAGGAATTCACCAGGCAAGGCAAACAGTTAAATAGAAGGAGGGGGAAAAAAAGTGGGGGAGCCAACAACTGGAAAATCATATGATGAGGATAAATCAGTAAATATCAGTTACAACCATCAGTGTTGATCATCTCAATTCATCAATCAAAAGACACAGACTGGCAGAATGGATCAAGAAGCATGATTCAACAATGTGCTCTACACAGGAAACACATTTAATTAAAAAAGAAATTATAGACTGAAGGTTAAAGGATGGAAAACAATACTCCATGCAACAGGAACCCAGAGAAAAGCAGGAATAGGTATTCTATTTGCAGACAAAGTGAATTTCAAGCCAAGACTGATTAAGACAGATAAAGGTCACTACATCCTTGTAAAGGGAACAATCCAAGAGGAAGAGATAACAATCATAAATATATCTGTGATAAATACCAGTGCATGCAACTATATAAAGCAAATATTTAGCAGCATGAAAAATCAAATGAGCACCAATATAATTATATTGGGGGAATATCAATTCCCCACTGTCACAAAAAGACAGATCAACTAGACAAAAAATCAACAGTGAAATATTAGAAGTAAACTAAACTTTTGAACATACAGCCTTAGTAGATGTCTGCAGAGTATTCCACCCCACAACATCAGAATACACATTCTTCTCAGATGCACATGGGATGTTTTCCAAAATAGATCACATACTAGCTCATAGAACATGCTTAAATTAAGGCAAAGGAATTGAAATTATCCCATGCATATTATCAGACCATACTGCAATGAAATTAGAAATCAATGGCAAGGGAAACCACAAGAACTTCATACACCCTCCTGAACAACTAATGGATAACAGATGAAATTAAAGAAGAAATTAGACAGTTTCTACAATTAAATGATAAAGACAGTAGAAGATACCAGAACTTATGGGGCACAATGAAAACATTCCTAAGAGGAACATTTATAGCAGTGAATACCCAGATCAGGAAAACAGAACAAGGGCAAATAAGTAACTTATAGTGAACCTCAAACTTCTAGAAAAAGAAGAGCAGGGTAAGCCAAAAGCTTGTATGAAGGGGGAACTTATACAGATCAGAGCAGAAATTAATTCAGTGGAGACTAGAAAAACAATAGAAGGAATCAATGAATCTAAGAGTTGGTTGTTTGAAAGATTAAATACAATCAACAAACCTTTGTCCAAGCTTATTAAAAAAAGTAAAGACTCAGATCCTTGCAATTAGGAATGAAAAGGGTGAAGTCACAACAGACCCTGCAGAAATCCAGATAATTTATACCTACTTTGAAAACTTGTATGCTAATAAAATGAAAAGTGCAGAAGAAATGGACAGATGTCTTAGGTACATATGAATTACCAAAGCTGAATGAAGAAGTTACAAAAAAATCCTAAATAAACCAATATCAATGAAATCGAAGATGTTATTGAAAACATACCAACAAAGAAACACCCAGGCCCTGACGGATTCACTGCTCAAATGTGCCAGACAGTAAGAGAAGACCTAACACCACTACTTCTCAAACTCTTTAATGAAATTGAAAGGGAAGCAGCATTCCCAATTTCATTCTGAATCTCCCTAATGAACACAGGGTCAAAAATCCTGAATAAGATACTGGCAACAAATCATCAAGAAGGTTATACACCAACAATAATTGCAACAAATCATCAAGAAGTTTATACACCATGACTAA